CCACCACCACCACCACCACCACCACCACCACCACCATCACCACCACCACGAGGCCAGGGTGAAACATGGAGATTCTGTTATAAGATGCAGCCAGGCTGAAAGAGCAGTTACACAAGGCACAGAGCCTGAGAGAAGCAATGAAAGTACTGCTGGAATGCAGAAAAGGAAAAGTATCAAAGGGGACAGAGTAAAAAACCAATGGCTCAGTTGTACACATACGTTTCAAAGGACATGAGGCTAACAAGGTGCAAAATACAGGTAGTATTTATTAAATTTATATGCTGCCCATCCCCCCCAGAGGGTGACTCTGGGCGGCTCACAATTAAAATAAAACCTCAAAAACAGTTAAAAATATAAATATCCACATTAATTTAGCTAAAAAGTCAGACTATATAAAAAGACTATATACATAAACAGACTAAAACATTCAAGATGACGGGGTAGGGGTAGAATCAATTACCCCACAAGCCAATTCTAATGGTGCGAACCCCCATCAGGCCCCTGGCCATATGGCATAGCCAAGATTTCACTCTCTTCCTGAGAGAGTGGGGGCACACCGCACCTCAGGTGGTAAGTTATTCCACAGAGTGGGGGCCATGGCAGAAAAGGCCCTCTTCCTAGACCCCGCCAGTTGAAATTCCTTGACTGGTGGAGTCTGCAACATGCCCCTTCTGCCAGACCAAATGGAGTGAGCTGATATACTGGGGATGAGATGACTCCCCAGATATCCTGGTCCTGTGCCATGAAGGGCTTTAGAGGTAATAACCAACACCTTGAACTGAACCTGGAAGCAAACCAGCAACCAATGCAGCTCACATAACAGAGGTTTTATATGGGCCCCCCGGGGGCATTCAGAACTGTCCACGCCACTGCATTTTGCACCAGCTGTAGCTTCCAGATACTCTTCAAGGGTAGCCCCATGTAGAATGCATTGCGGTAATCCAACCAGGAGGTGACCGGGGCATGAGTGACCGTGTGGAGAGCCTCCTGATCCAGGAAGGAGTGTAACTGACGTACAACACAAAGTTGCTTCGAGCAGGCGTCGTGAGTCTAGGACAACCCCCAGATTATGCATCTGGTCTGTCTGGGGTAGTACAACCCTGTCAAGAACCAAAGATGATAAACTCCTAGATCTTGAGGCTCCCTGTACCCACAGTCATTCCTTTTTACCAGGGTTCCATTGAAGTCTGTTGTCCCCCATCCAGGCCCCTACAGTCTCCAGGCACCATGAAAGGGTAGCCACAGCATCACTTAGGTCACCAGGGATGGAGATATATAATTGAATATCATCAGTATGCTGATGATACCTCATCCCATGGTGCCGGATGATCTCACCCAACAGTTTCATGCAGATGTTAAATAGGAGCAGCAAGCACACTGAACCCTGAGGCACCCCACAAAGTAAGGGCCATGGGTTGGACCTCTCACTCCCTATCAACACCAACTGAGATCAGCCTTGGAGAAAGGAGCTGAACCAGCCCAGAATTGTCCTCATGTAATGACCACAACAGGGACTGGAAAATTTGTTGTAAAGTGGAGTGGTCATTAAGTGAGTCACCGTGACTAGACCCGATTTTATGACCATTTTTACAATGGTTGTTAAGTGAATCATGTGGTCATTAAGCGAATCCAGCTTCTCCAATGGACTTTTTTGCCAGAATTCACTTAATGACCACATGATTTGCTTAATGACTGCCGTAAGAAAGGTTGCAAATCACGATCACGTGACCGCGGGAGTGGTGTGATGGTTTGAGATGGTCATAAGTGCGAGTACAGGTTGTAAAGCACTTTTTCCAGGGCTATCGTAATTTTGAACCATTGTTAAATGAACAGTTGTTAAGGTAGGACTACCTGTAGGTCAAAAAAAGAAACAGTGTCCTCAGTCTCAGGGCATGGGCTGCAGTGCTACATATAAAAGCACAAAGAACCAGGAGGGAACCAAGAAGCCTCAGAATCCAGACCTGACTTCTTCCAACACCCCAGGCTCTGGAGTTCTTGGGGCTCTCTGAGCTTGGTTCTTTCCTTGCAAACATTTCATTACCTGGCTAGGTAACATCTTCAGTGCTAAAATGGGTTGGGGTTGGCTCTCTGTTTATATACTGTGGCATCCCTTGCCAGTGCTGGTAGGGGTGGGGGTTTTGTTTTGCTCCTCTGGTAATTCCTTGATTAGCATATGTTTACTGCTTGATTGTGTGCCTGGTGGTAACCTTTGCTTATCTGGGTGATGACTGCTGGTGAGGCGATCTTCTGGTCTTTTGTCTCACAATCAGAGCCAGGTTCTTAAGAAGATATCTAATCATAGTTATCTTTAAACAAGGGGACATTCTCCCCTCTCCTTAGGGGCATTTGTGAGGATAACTAAGGTGTCTCTAAAAACCTCTGGGCTAGAAATTATAAGCCAAGTTAGGATCCAGAGGCAAGGATCTAGAGCAGGGGTCCTCAAACTTTTTAAACAGGGGGCCAGTTCACAGTCCCTCAGAATGT